CAAGTTTCAACCATCGGCTAAACCAGCACTTGCACAAGGCCGCTTCTTACAGAGGTATCTTTGGCAGTGGAACATGAAGCTTCAAAAACCACATTTTGTGGTGAGGGTCTTCTTCCAGACAGTGTCATGGTCAGGAGAGTAGCTTTGGGTTTGGTCTCAATGGGCCGGGGTGGTGCTCACTCCTGACATCAGATGGGGACAATGGAGGAAGGGCAAGGCCAGCGACAAGGATATGGATTTTCAACTATAGACTATATGGCAATCAAGTCAAGAGTCAGTTTGCCTAATGGGATTTGCAAAGACTATCAGCATAATCACAGCATCTTACCACAGCTGCTTTCTTTGTTTTATCCTGAACACAAACATAATTCCTACTATGAGCGGCCCGGCTCTCTCACTTGTTTTCTAACTTAGGGCCCAGGGTTTTCCCCTCCACAACTGAACAATAGTGAGCAGTGTCATGATGTGCGACTTCTTCAACTGATTGCCCGGGCTTTTGCTGCGAAGGCTTTGTCCCCGGATGTAGCAAACTGTATAGTAGAGGGCGAGTCCTGTATGCTTGCGATGAGCAACCTGAAACGTAGGGGACTGACTGCTGCAGTCTGGTTGTTTGCAAAACGAATACATATATGGGCTGAAAGAACCCCACGCTCAGCAGTTTAGTATTCGGCCTGCACCTCAAAACTACCATAATGCATTACTGGCCCAGAAAACGATAAGAGTAAAAGAAAGATAACATGACTTCGGGATTTAGCAATTGATACGGTCTTTTTCACTACCCCATATGGGCTGGCCAATTTCACAATCTACGCAAAGGCCGTATGACCATCCAGGCTGGGTCCAACTCTCTGTCGGTGACTCCACCAGGACAGGCTGCTCCACCAGATATTACCATCGAGCAGCCTGCCGCATTCGTCAACCGCGAACGGAGCCAATAGCAATCAACCTAATAGCAATAGTCTCCAACCCAATAGGCCTCCAACAGCGATGGCCTCCAACCAACTACCACCCGAAAAGGTATATATAAGGGACCTATGTGAGCTAACCTCTAGCGCAACATGCGTGATGAGCGTGTGGTTTTGAGGGACCCGAAAGATGGCCTTGGGGAGAGGTAAGACCAGTGAGGGACTCCTCGGAGTTGACTTCCTCCGATCGCAGACATCCGCAGTATTGAAGGCAAAAGAAAGGGGGCCTGTAGCTGAATTGGTCTTTCGTACAATGGCAACTGGCAACTGAATGTGTGGAAATACACATTTTGGCCTTTGATACGAGAGATTGCGCGAGCGATAGACAAGTTGCTTGTGATGGCTAATGAGCTTGTTTAGTGGAAGATTTGCCATGGGTCTACAACATGAGATGGGGCCATAGAGATGCGCTGTCCTTTCAGTTAGCAACAAAGGAGCGCAGGCTTAACATATCAGGTAGAGACGACTTGTTCCGCAGGTATAGATCTGATTCACCCTGACATCAGCCCAGCAGTCCAGCATGTCGAACCAGGGTTTCCAGCTTTTGCTTTCGGACGCATCAGTTGCCTACTATAGTGGAAACCGGATCGGCTCGACCACTTGGAATCCAAGATGACTACTTCACTAAGATCAGATCCTAAAGAACCGATCCTGAAATCAGCGTCCATGTGGGTCAAACGGTTATCTCTAGATCAGTTTTGAGGTGATGTCCTTTCCGGAATGAGTGAGTGAGTGAGTGAGAGAGAAAGAGAGATCATAGTAGAAAGGAACCATTTGAATTCCTGGCTATTTGGCAGCCTGTAATGACATGTTCCTTTCAAACATGTTTCTCCCTGAACACCCTCTAGCGCAGGAAGACTTGGGTCTGTGGCTGAAACAAGGGTGCCTCCATGCGCCGCCGGCAGGGTAATCACGATCACACGGCAAACACAGCAATTGTCTTACTCCAACAATCCTCAAGTTTACAAGTCTTTTTGAGAACACATCAAGCCACCCATCAAGAAAGCCACAACCGGCTTTGGTCGATCTGCGCGACAAAGTCGCCTTGAGGCGTTCGGTAGAGATGGTGAATTGGAGCGGCACGCAAGGCGTCACCACCCGACACTTGGCCAATGGGGCGGAGGGACTTCGGCGGAGGTGGTATGCACAGCACGTCTTCACGAGCTCGTTGGCAAGGTGATTGTATGTATGGGATTGTATGAGTGTAGGATGAGATCCGGATGGGTCCAAAGATCGTCCCCAGTATGAGCAATAAGAAGTTTATGTAAGCCACCTCACCTCAATAACCTTGTACTACTCTTTGGTGGAGCTGCAGTAGGGATGAATGATGAATCCTCCAGCAAAAACCCAACGAATCCTATTTGACTATCTTGTCGGACGAACCAATCTCATGAGGCTCTTCGACCGCGAACGAAGAGCAGCCATCCCACGTGTCTCGTTCAGGGCGGCTCTTTCAGCCGGAGAACGAAGAGCAGCTGCAGCGGCTCATTCGCTGGGCCTCTCAAGCGAAGCAGAAGGCGCCCAGTCGGTGCCGGTCGAAGCGACACGTTGCGACACTTCGACTCAAGTCCAACCAAAAGTGGCTCATCGATTTATGCTTGGTAGCATGGTGTGCCCTGGTATGTCCAATGAATACGCCAACCTATGCCCGGGGCCCGGAGGTGGTTAGACGCATCCTTGACGAATAAGGCGTTGTAAAAGGAAAGAGCTGCAAACAAAAGGTATTGAGAAAAAGTCGGCGCAAACGGACACCTTTCACGTAAGGACCCATGACGCACTACAATGGATGAAAACAATTGATTTTTAGCTCACATGCAGCGATCTGGCATCGAGCTCGCTCTTTTTCAGGATTCCCAGAACTTCCGAACTTCTGGTGTGCCACTGGCATGCTTGGTACTTGGTCATTCATGGTCATTCCGTATCATCCAGATGAGGTCAACTTCCAACTGCCTCTCAAGATCGAAGAATGCGATTGTGAGGTACCAAAATTCCTAAGCCACAAGAAGCGAGACTCCCAAAGCGAATCCCCTGATAGAACATCAAAAAATAAGAAACTGAATTAAATTGTTCAAAGCGCCGTGGCGGGCCGCGGCCACGAGGTGAGGCCAGTGGGGATGAACTTGTCGCCCAACGGTTTGGCGCTGCAAGAGGGCGGCATGCTCTCCATGACAGAGCTGGATGGGATCAAAGGCTGGGATCGGCACGAAAACACCCATTTTGGATCATTTTGGACTCACATGTGCATCCATGGTGCAGCTTTGACCGCTTTTCAGCAGCGCCATGTTGTAGTATTCTGTGAGACATGTGTGATTCGTTTTTAGACCTTGCTTCGTCTCCGTGACGAGATCGTCTGGTTTGCCTAGTGTAATTAGGGGCCCCACACCATGCGGGCTGATGTTACGTTCGTGTCAAAAGTTGTTGGAGGTTACGTGGCAATTGGGGATCTAAAGAGCTTACACGCGGCAACGAGGGAGTCTGATTGAGCAAGGCTTCCTAGAAAGCCCCTTCAACAGAAATATACAGAAATCCACACTGCAGGCATGGTTTTGCCTCCTACACTTTACTCGCTGTCGAGGACACCCCACAAAGCCAAGACGAGGCCAGGCCCAAACGTGAGCCGGACACTTACGATAATCAGGTTATCATCATTGCAGGCTCAAAAACAACCACCAGCAACAAAAAGTGGCAGGATTTCATGAAGTCCAGAGCGGATGCTGGCACCCAGTTGGAGCATTTTCGGGATCGTAAAAGCCAGCAAAGTTATGCCATTTACTCTCAACATCTCTGAACAAGCTCGTGACGTGTATTGCTTGCCGGTGTCCGTCCAGGGATCGACAAGGAGAAGAACACCATCACCGCACCATGGAGGTAGAATGCGATTCCAGTTGTGTGGGTTTGAATCGTAGTTAGGGGACTGGAGGATCCCCTAAAAGTAAGAGATGGCAAGTGCATAAAGTCATGCCCATTTGGCATGTTTCTGGGTAGATATTTGGTATGCAGGTGTTTTAGGCCCACTGGTTCGCTTGAACCTGTGGGGTGGGCCAGAGATAAACAACTAAATTCTATAGTAGATCATATGAATCATATAATCGTATATAACCATATATATATATAGTACATTCACTCGCCCCAAACTTATGCACATGATTACAACCCACAATCACACCCCCTTCTGTTCCAAAGCATTCGATCTTCTTTCAGGGCCTTGTCGGAGGGTCGCTCTGGCAGATCCTCGTGAGGGATCCACTCAACCTGTGAATGTCCTAGAGGTCCATCTTGCATCATCTTCCTACGAATACAGGGCCCCTAATTGACAGAAGAATGAATCCCCTGGCTCCCCACCATCACCATGTTGGGATGCCCATCTCATCCCATTTTTGCTCATTATTTTGACTTGCTTACTCAGCCGCTGAGTTTTGAATTTCGAACACTTTTCAGACCCTCTTCAGCTGGATCCAGAATTGCAGTTCTCCGAGGTTCAGGCCGGTGCGCGAGTCTCCCAAATCCTGGCGGAGCTGCAGAAGCATAATCTCACCTTGGAGAACTTCTCCTCCATCACGGAGACACAGAAATCGCCTGGTCAGCTTCATGCTGGCACAGAACTTGTCCTTTTTGAATGGCTTTATCTTCATCTAGCTGAAGCTGAACCAGACTCACGCAACATCACACAGACCTCCAGAAAGCACCTGTTCCACTAACTCTCCACGGCCGCATGATGGACCTGTGACCTCGTGTGAGGAGCAACAGATCGCTGGATGGACGCAGGTGAGCGCCCACGGCACTGGTGCACGCATCCCGCCGGTGGACGCACCTGGTCTGATCGGTTGGGGAACACATATCATCGTGGAGATCGACGGGGAGTTTGTGCTATAATTTTGTTGCACTGGTTGGTGTCCCGTTTTGAAGGGAAAAACAGACACATTCTGTCTATGTACTGGGCTTTCTCAGGTAATCTTCCTCATTCACAGTTGTGAAGTAAACTGGGAGAAAACTTCCAGCGGAGTGACACTATCTGACTGACAGAGAACCTCCAAGACACTCGAATGGTTCGGTGGAAGAAGCACTTGCACCTGAAGATCTAGACTCGTTTAAACCCAAAGTCGCTCCTTTTCACCGTTCCTGATGGTTTTTGGGAGTCGTTGAAAGAAAACAGAACACTGACAAAGACTATACTTGCTAATTTTCTTTTTAATCGCTGCGTTTGACGGAGCCATATCTGGGCAATTAAACTTTCTATTGTCGGTGGATTGCAACTGAGGGACTCCCCAGAGAAATGGACAGGTTGGTACTGGGAACCCTGAGGAGATGGGCAACGTAGAGGGGGAAAATAAGGCACCCGAACATCTTCCTGCAAGAACGCACTTCAACATCCAGTTGTATACATAACTGGATATAGAATGCGTCTGCTGTGAAACAGAACCGTTGTGACCGTTGTGGTAGTCTAGAACGAAACATAGGAATGGCAGATGGAACCCATGGAAGTCTTCAGAAATACCACGGAACCACGGAACCATCCATTGTATTTGTTGGTTTAAACAATGTTCGGAGTTGATTTTCAAGATATTTCACTAGAAATCTGACTGAAAGCTTCTTTCAGAATGTGCCTAGGAGATGATCACGTCAATGACTGTAGTGAGCCCAGCAAAAGGCCCGATGGGAGCTCGTTTCTTGTCGTTAGTCCCCTGAGTCCAATGATTTGTTTTCTTTGCGCAAGGTGTTTGTTTTGTATGTATTGTTTTCATATTTGATTTACTGTGAGTGTTGGTGAAAATTTGGGTTTTGATACTTCCGTCCAAACAGTGGGATATCCCTTGCCCAGTGTATCGCACTACCACGAAGTGACTGCTTACGTTCTTTAGCGGCTCCCAAGATGAACCACCTAGCTATCAACTGCCCCATTGGTACTTTTCAGGTTTGGGACCCCTCCTCCTATGAACCCTTTGAACTTCCTCCACACCCTCGTAACTTCACACTCGCGCCTGAGCGCTCCTTTTCGGCTGTCACTGTCTTTGGAGGCCTTATGACGCTCAGAGAGGGCGACAGTTGGTTTCCCTGGATGCGGGTGGCACTTGGATCGCTGGCCGTCGTGCAAGAAATGACCCTTAAGGCCGGATGGTCATATGATTAGCACTTTCAGAGGCATTTGAACCCGTCGCGTTCCCTAAGTTTCCTTAAACTCTATAGGAACCAAATCATTAATGCATGACCGTGAACTCTCCTCAGTGCATACTGGTGCTAGTAGCTTCCTAGTAGCATAGCTTATACCCCTACCATCCCCTACCCCCCCCTAACGGGTTTAAAAAGACGTATTACTGTATATTAATACTAACGCTATAAACAAAAAAACAAGGTTCCAATTGTTCTCATGTTCTCATAGTTGCTTTCCTCTCATTTCCAGTTGGGGTACACAGGAAGGTCCTGGCGGATGATGTACACAGCGGGCTATCTTCCAGCGTTAGGACTCCAAATCAGCTGTCAGCTGTAAGAAAAGGAGGCGAAGAAGCAAGACATGAAACAACCGGCATACAAATGGTGCGACAGGGTTACCAGCGTTGGCTGAGTGATTACTTTGACGACTCAACAAGTAGTTTTTTGAAGCCACACAATTGCCCTAGTCTGGTTACTGGTTGTACCAAAATGCCTGGACCTCCTGCAGGGCATTGTCTTTTTCAGGGTCCACCGCTTTCCCAGGCAGGGTTCAAGCAAGGTAAGCATGCAATTTATGTCACCACTGCTATGACCCATAAACGCTTTTTCAGGTGCGGCCGCGCTACATGCTGCACGAGCGGACGTATTGTTGCAACTACGCGGAGCTGGAGCGTGACCATGCCAAACTCCTACAGACCTACCGACATGTCCGTGCCTCGCCCGTTGTGGCTTCCGTTTTGGGGGTCGAAGTTTGGAAATGTATCGACCGAACATTTGCCGTATTACCTGTTGTCAGCGCTCAAGGCTAGCTTCCACGTTGCAAGAAAACGAACTTACTTGACATACGCTAACACGACGCTTGGTGTCAGATGACGAACATACTGCATGCACGGTTCATGTTTATCCTCCGACCAGTGGGGGTTGTGTGCAACTCCCGCTGAAGAGGACCTCTCTCGAATCCGCTGGTTTTCTTCTTCTCGGGAGGCCATGTTTGGCTTGGGTGTATCCATCGCTGGACGGGCTTCTTGGCCAATTTCGCACCAGAGTACACGGCCTCAGGCTACATGTGGGTCCCCTACACCGACACCATCGTGGTGGTGGTCTCCGACATTGCCAAGCCGGGCGCCAAAGCTGTGCCCGCACTGCCGGAAGAACGCCGCGTCGAGCCCTTGAAGCGGCTCTTGCGTGAGATGCAGCCAGAGACCTGGCGGAGGTAGTGTTGGGTGAACGTGTTTTTTTGGACAGTTGAGGCTGGTGCAAAGGGCTTAGGGCTTGGGGTTTGATGGTGATTGAAATGCATTTGACCATATTTTACATTGTCTTTGACAAGACAGTAGAGGATCTGTTCATGTTCAGATTCCTCAAATAAATCAAGCAACATGGAATGTGGCAAGTATTCAGATTAAAACATATCCATTAATCAGTGGTTGATGGTCTACTTTTCCCAGGGTTTTAGAGGTCCGAGTTTGAGACCAAGTTGAAGGATGTCAAATGAATACGGTTGACCTCTGTCTGGGGAGGCGCAGCGATGGCACTCCCAACAGTTGGGAGTAGCAGTCACTCAGGCTCTGAGCAGGTGATGAATTTTGGAATTGAACGGTGAGTGTAGACAGATCAGCCCATGTTCTCCTGTCTTGCTTCCTTGGATTGTCCCATCTTCAATCTGGATGGTGACTGACATTTAAACAATCAAATAGACAAGCGGCGAGCTGGCCCTTGCATTCCCTGTATGACAGCCGGTATCGGAGTGCCCTGGCTGTCCACATGAGTACGCCGGTTGTAGAGAGCAGGTGTTGCAAAGTGAGCTGAGCCGTCAGTTCTGCCCCATGTCAAATGTTAAGTTTCTAGGAATGAATAGCGTGAGCTATCCTGCTACCTACCTACCTACCTTTAGCCGCCTACCCCCCCCTTATCAAAGATAAAAAACAGCTTTCGCTTTGCTTTGAGTGCTGTGAGGACTGTGGCAGCTTAGAGGGCAAGAACTTCGCAGAGCTCCGAGTGCCTTCGGCGGATGAAATGGTTTGACGGAGTTTGGCCAAGCTAGAGAATCCACTTGCGGTTAAGGTCCTATTGACACCAAGGTCCACGACAAACATCACCTGTTCGAGGTGCTCGCTACCAATGATGACGATTGGGTGTTAAACTATGTTAAATTACAAGTATCACATATCCAATAGGCTTCTTTGCTTCAGACGAAATGGTCACAGGTTCTGTTAACGGATGGGACATATTGGGAACCCTCTGGGGCCTGAAGTTCCGGGTCGAGTTCCATTCTTGTGAGTTTCAAATGTTTAACACGGAGGCAAGCAACACGCAACCAGCTGTTTGGGTGTTTGGTTTCTGCGCAAATTACTTTATAGGGGGTGCTCAGGATTGAACAATCACTATACTCAAGATTAAAGAGAATTCTTTGGGATTATACATGTGTCAGGCTCACAAAACACCAGCTCACAGCCTCCGGTCGAACTGTAAATGTTCTTGAGGTTGGTGGGCTGTCGTTTAGTAGATGTTAAGACCACTTTGCATGACTTCAAGAAATCCGGCAAGTAGTCCACCAACTAAATGCGACCTTCCAACCTTTCATCTCCAAAAGGATGATGCAAAGGTCTAAGCACTTACAGTACGTACTGTACAGCTCATGTGGATCCAGTTTTGCGTTGTGGTGGGGGAGTCCAAGCATCCAAACCAGCAGCACAAGACATCGTATTCACTTGAGCACACCTCTGATGAACTCCACAAGGATCCACAAGGTCTTTTTGCCGCCCCAGTCAGAGATCTGACCACGGGAAAAGGACGCATGAGGAAGCATTCAAACCGGTGAGCAACCCCTGCTTATTTTCATTCAGGGTACATTTAGGGGTATGTAGGGGAGATACGCAGGGAGCAAGGATGCTACTAGGGGCTCCTGGCCTTACTACTAGGAACAAGAATGCTTCTAGTAGCAAAGGGCACCTTTTTATCAACTGTTGGTGCCAATCCTCAGTCCGTCAGATTTCACACTCGGGCGTCGGACGGTCTATGTGAGCCATTCTGGGTTTACACGGTGACTCACAGTCGTGAGGAAAAGCTGCTGGTCTTAGATCCTTTGAACCCGGACCATGTCGCGAAGGTGGGCAGTTGAGGAACTGTGTGCGGATGTCGGGCATTGTCGGGGCCCAAACCAACAAGTTCATCTCACTTTCAGGACAGGACCCTTGGAACCATCCAATATATATCTGAATCTAGTTTCCGAGGTGTCTCTGGTTTGGGCATGACAAGCTTCATTCGGCCCTGCTTCTTTCTCAGGTTTGATCTTGTTCAGGAGAGGCCCGGCGGATCCAGCTCCTTTTGCCCTATCCAGCACGAAAACACACCATGGATTAGCCAAGTTAGATGAAATATATTGACATATGATGAAATACCATGAAATAGAACTTCCACGGAGTAAGTGTTTCAATGTTTTTCAGAGCAGGTGAACGGTTCGTCGTCAGATCGTAACTCAAATGCCAAAGTTATCACGGCGCAAGGACCCAACGAAGCTGCTACAACGCAGCAAACCATCTTCAGTGAGCTATCGGTCCGACCAACCAAACCCCCCAGACCCGAAGCTCACGTGCAGGTCAACCGCGCGGAGGCTGAGTTCTGGCGGAAGAGCAGCGGCGAGCGCATCGCCGATAGCACGGAGGTCTTAGGATTCGAGTGCGGTGGTTCGCACTTTGGCGCCACAGCCTTGATGAATCGTTGGGAAGCATGCAGAACTCGGACGGAAGCAGGCTATTCTGAAAACAGAACTCGTGACGGGTTTTCCGAACACTAGATAAAGCATTACAGTCAGGTTCTTTACCCTGAATCTCCAAGGGCAACTGTAAGACACCGAGCTAAGCTGAGCTGTTCCCATTCGTAAGTTGTCGTGATCATTTGGCCCGCGATTGCTCGAGGGGAAAGCAGGTGGCCCAAACCTTTTGTGTTGGTTAGGCAAGAGGATGACCAGTTCGCCAGTTGTCACCTTCTGTTCAGGCAAGAATCATCCTGCACCTCAGTTGAGAAATGCCAAAACTATGTATGTACAGTGTTTTGCAGGTCCCAAATAGTGGAGAATTCCTAGCTTTTGTCACTCTGAGGAAATAGACACAGTTGAACAGTATGCCCACGGACCTTGGTGATAACTTGGCTGAACCAGGTCGGGTTCGTAGATTGTTGGAGCTGAACCAGGTTTGGTGTGTAGATGGTTGGAACCCTCATGGAATGAGGCACTGAATATGACAGATACATTTATATTATATATTGCTGAATACACCATAGTTGGCATATTTCTTTTTTGTATGCCAGGTCTAGGATTTCTTCTATTTAGCATAGAACAACCATCTTGACAATCCACATCTCAGGTGAGCGTCCTTGTGTTGTGTTCGGCTTTTTCGGGGAAGTCGAATTGAAGTGCCAGCTGAGGCAATGGGTCCTAGAGAACTGCTTCCCTTGCGGCACCATTGATTCACCAAATCTGAAAGACATCAAGTACGTACAAGAGATGCCCCTTGGGTCTTTTGTCGACGTGCGAAGTAAACACGCAGTCAGCCCAGCTGACCAATGTCCGCGAGCGAAGGTCGGGTCGGAGGAGCGGGTTATGGCGTTCAAGCGAACCCACCTTGACCCACACGTCAGTAAACCTTGGGGGTAGAGCTGGCTGTAGTGTAGTTTTCATGTAATAAGGCCTATATCCTGTTGGTTGCAGTTTCCCTCGTCGCCCTCAGCGGGCAGCTGCTTTGCCTTTGTTCAAGGCACCTATGGGGCTAGACTGTTCAACGCGCAGACATCATTCGCTTCCCCAAGCGGCCGAGGCGTACCAGGTAGTCTATGTACTGGTCGCACGGAAACCCTCCACAGTCGAATAAATGCCTTATCTAACTCTTTCTTGCTGTGTGAGATGTTCACTGGGATTCGGGGTGAATGCTCCCCAACGCAACTGCCCCAAGAATCCAGACCTTTCCTTCAGCTGTTTTTCCCTTTCGTGTTCCAGCAACTGCGTAGTCCAGGAAGGGCATCATCGAGCGAGAGCGGATTGCAGCTGCTTCGCCCATCGAACAAAGATGGACATCAAGGACATTTTCAAGCCACGTGCAGTGGGACAGCTGGTTGTTGCCCACCAGGAACAAGACCAACAAATGGACACCTGGTGAACTGGCGGATGGACCCTTTGTTTCATGCCCCCAATACTTGAACCAACAGAACATGTAGCAACATCCCAGGAGCAATTCCTTTCGCCTCAGGATACATGCAAGAAGGAGCTACCTGGGACCAGGTCGATGACTCCCACTTGACAGGGTATTCAATAGTGTATGTTGTGTCTCCTCGAGCAGTCCAAAGTTGTGTCACCCACTGTGAGATGTCTTCATCTCGTGGGTTGACACGAGATGAATTAGAGTTTTGCAGTAGTCAATGATTGGTTGAGGATGCACAGATGGTGGCTCTTCGTGGCATTCATTGCAATTCCTATGTAATGTCCTTCCGGCGACAACTGCTTTTTTTTTGACAATCCCTCACAAGCCACCACTATTCCCATCACAATCATCACATGGGTATTGAGTGGCTTGGGTTGAACACACAAATCCAAACATCCCATGGGGAACAGTCCTTGGCTTTTGTTGTTCCCCATCGAATTAGACAGTTCGAGCTTCGAGCCATGATCTCTTCAAGTGCAAACGAACGGTGTTGTGAAACAAATCCTGTTCGTCATCCACAAACAAGATCAAACTTCAGACTATGTAGGCGGGGATTATGTCGTGGAACCAGGGATGGCTTCTGTGAAGAGTTGGGATTTCCAGACACCTGGGCCAGGCATTCCGAACAATATCTGAGGGATCCATCAGGCTCTTGGAGAAACCAAAAGAGGAAATCTTATATATATATATAAATCAAATATATATATATATACATATCTCGACTACATTATCCTAGATGTGTTTGGAACATCCCTTCGTGTCTCCCAGGTGGAGCAAGATTCCTGTTCCTTCCTTGGACACGTAAACCTGGCAAGTAGAGAATGTGGCATTGGTGGCTTGGGCACTGTTTTTTTTCATGTTTTTTGGTGCCCCCAGAATCAACTTGCTAGCAACAGACACTTTAAGAAACCGTAGTTTGCTTTGTGGTCTGTTTATTGATGGCTCGCTGCCAAAACCAGAGGCATTTTGAGAATCAGACCAATGGTGTGAATGGCGATATGATTGAACCAAGATGAGGTCACAAGGACCTGCTGAAGGCTTGTTTTAGATCTCAAGGATCTCCGTAGCACTTAATTATAGTTATTTACCACAATTGAACGTGCGCCGTGCGCACCAAGTTTTACTTATTTTAAAAAACAACCGGTCAGACTTGGCGTGGTTAATGTATGTATATATGGTAATATATTGGGTGAGAAGCTGGAAGCGTCAAGTCAAACACAATCAACGAGTCGGCAGTTTGTTGACCCTTCACTTATACCTGCTTGGTTTTGTCTGAGGGCAATTCCACGGCAAGTTGATAGCAAGGTCTCCCCAAACAGTCAGACAGATCAATAGTCCCTTTGGGGTGGTATGTAACCATATGGTGCTAGTATAGTCGTGTTTTTCCCTGAGGGATGTTAGTTCTATAATATCTATAGTAGTTTCTTTAGAGTTTTGGGCAAAAGATGAGCAGGCGATTCAGACATTTGTTCTATCATAAAGACAGCGAACAAGCAACACTTGGCCGTCAACCAGACATGTGAGACACTCCACCAATAACGACCCCAAACCTTCTCCAAATCCATATTCCTCCGACTATCTTGCAAGCAGCTTCGTTCCAGGTGCTTTTCTGAGGAGAAACATGGGAAACGTATTCATTGAGTTTGACCAAGCCTTTGTAACTGGCAGCGGGGGACGTCAAATCAAGATAAACATGTACTTGGAACTCTGCGATTCAGCCTGCACCAACTCCTTGGGTGTCTCCCCCGCTGTTGGACTCATAGACTCGCTTCTTCTGGACGAAAGAATCACCGGAGGAGCAGCAGTCCAATGAGCCCGGCATACTCCAAGGAGGCGGGACATGCTTCGAGATGGTATAGCTGAGCTTCGGTTTTCACGGAGTGCCCCGAGCACGGAAGTTCGGAGAGAGATGCAGAGAATGAGCAAAGTCGCTGAATTTTGCTCTTGGCTTGAATGTTGTACTGTACAGCCATTTTGTCGACCTTGACTGGTTTTGCTTGAAAAGCTCAGTTCTCCACTGGAGGCCAATGCGCTTTTCTCTTGGGTGGGCGTGATCATGTATATCACCTCCGAAGACCAGGCACGCCGAAAAAGCAGGAAAGGGAAGTGTGGGTTGTGACTGACACCTTACTGCAACAATCAAGTGGGTCACCTGAAACAAACACCAGCTGCAGTAGCTTTACCCCACCCACTCGGATAACATGCTTTCATCCTTGAGTTCAAACAGATTACTGTAGAGGAAAGCTCTTTGGAAACATGTTTTGCACAGGTCCACAAGTCTATGTCATTTTCCACTAAGTTCAATATAAGGCTTCAATGAGAGTATACTTGAATTGGATTACTGCAGCCCCGAGTACCTATTCACTTGAATGTTTGAATTCGCTCAGCCATATATGAAGGTGCCCGCACAAATCTGTGCTCAAGAACTTCTGGGGGTGTCTCGGCGCTCCCATGGGCGATCCTGTGGGACTTGGATCCAGGTGCTCAATTGGGCATCGCACCTGCTCCTGTGGACCAAGGGAGCACCAGCCTCTGATTGCCATTGTCACTGTGAGGTTCCGACTGAGATGGCAACTTGTTCAGGGATTGTGAAACATCTATTGCACACTTGTTTGGAATCCTCGGCTGTGACTAGTGGGACCGCTACTACAACTACGGTTACTGATTACTCCTACAATCCATTTTGGTGGTGGTGGCTTGTGTTGATTGCACTAGCTTTTGGTCTTGGTGTCCTGGTTGACCGATCGGCTGGGACTCTGCGGTGTTTGCTCAAACTGTCACACTGTCTCGACCGACTCCAGCCTATCTCCCCGACCTCGACGGACAGCTCAGCCTCTTGGCCTCGCCGTGGGATAGCTGCCTGAGATGGCGGCTGTCCAGCGCACGCTGGACATACCGGAAATGCAGATACTAGTTGAGTTCGTGCATGACCCAGCGGGGCTTGGTTATCATCATCGCACTCTATGGTATAGGGTCGACAGATGAGTATGGATCATCTCTTCCCCAGATGGGGATGTGTATGAGGAGGATTATGACAATATGACCGTAGTTCCACTCTCCAGAAATAGTCCTTTTCCCGCTGGCCGGCCCGCTGGATATGCTGGTCAGATGTATGTCCCCAACAATGCGAATCTGATGCAAGACTACCCTACCTCAAGGGACAGGCCGAAGCCTTGGCCACAGTTCGCGGCTGCCTTGAGCGACCTGGTGTTGCGGCTGGCTCTCCAGTCGCGCAGGCTGGGCAGTGGAGGGTGGCAGATGTGGACTTGAAGCGCTTTGGTGAAATTGTTCCTCACGGAGATCTGGGTGACCCAGCTCAGAATGCCGTGCTCACTGTTGGGGCTCAACAGAAACGCTTGCACTGCTTAGATGGCCAGATTGTCAGCCTGGAGCTTGTTGAAGACTTTGAAGCCTGGAAGGAGCACAAGAGGCCCGGACTCCCGGGCGGAGATGCCGGCGATTTGAGACTTCTTGCATGTGAAAGGTTAACTTCAGGCAAGAGGCATTTGCCCCTCTCCCGTGCTTTGGAGAGGATGTCAGACACGAAGTTCAATGAGGCCCCAAGGCCACTCGTGAATTCCTAGAGTCAGTTGCATGAGAATGGTGGAGGCCTCGCGACTTACCATGCCATGTTTCTGAGGAAATCTGGTCTCTCAGACAACAGTGCTGCTGCCCATGAGTACAAAAACCTCATCGGTGTGCTCAAGCTGGCCATCGGGTATGACCAGGTCGACTGCAGCAATCTTGCGTCGGTTGAGCAGGTTGTCAGACGGTTGCTTGAGATTCAGGTCGCTGTCAGGAGGAATCCGAAGCATCTCACCTTTGACGCCTTCGATTACAACACGCGAGGCACAGTTGATGAGGTTGGAGGTGCCAGGGCAAGTGGCTACAATGAGTGGATTGCGGAGCAGCAGAAGATTGAGGCCAAGACCTTGAAGTCAATACGGGAGTGGAGAGAAGAGCAAGCCAGACAAGGATGATGACGAAGATGCACATGAGCCGACATCGACCAAGAAGAAGAACAAGAAGAAGAAGAAAGGCGGCGCGTCTGATGCCGCCCTGGCATCATGAGCTCATCGGAAAT